AAGTGATCGCCGATTTTTCTATGAGAAACCAAAGTTCTAGTTGCTGGGGAAAAAGCTCATTCGGGTCTATAATGCAGGTGATGAAATTGCGTCCATGCTAATACTCTTTCGAAGTAAATGCTAAAAAGTGCCAATGTCGTGTTCGCGCTAACAGTGTCGCGATGTGTACTGTGGCGTCCTGCCCGAAGATGCACGTCTCGGGCGAAGCATTTGGCAACGAATTAGTGCGATGAATAATATGTGAAAGAGTAGAAATAAAGAGTACCGTAAAGAATTAGCCAAACAATACGAAAGAATCAAACCCGTGCGGAACGCCAAGCCAGCCAAGCGCTACTGCTGCCTGTGCTCCGCACTCCGGCAGCACGCCTACTACACGTTGCTCCCTCCCGCGGCCACCGATCCGGTCATCGCTGAAAGAGCCCATCCTCCGCCCGCGCTCGCTACACTGCCCAGTATTCTAGTACACCATACCGAGGGCGCCTCTCCCTCTCAGAGCGCTCTCTAGCACTCCGTCCGTAGCCGTCGAAGTGCCGGAGTGCGGAGGGGCGTAGGCGTCACGTGGTACTTGGACGGAGATCACGTGGTTTTGCTGACGATGGCCGCAGTGGTCTGTGGTGGTGTGCGGGGTCCGGCATGAAGGTGGTTGATATGTGGTTCTACAAAGTGGTTGTGCATTCGCGGTGCGATGATTACAACGAACGGGACGGCATTTGTTTGTGACCGTAACAAGTAAAGTCGACGTGTGAAGTATTCCCAGTGCTTTTACGATATCATAAATCTCGCGGCGGTGATTCCGCTAAGCCTAACCGACGAAAAAACAGCTCGCAGAGCTCGCTGCTGTTTTACCGGGTTTTGTGATCGCTTCAAGAAATTTTCAGGTTTGGCAAAAGTGTGTTCAAAGGTTCGGTGTTGTAAAATAAAAAGAAAGCCGAATCACAGTCATTTGTGTGACATGGCGATATATGTTATATCCTGCTTGTACAATATTTCGCCGTGAGAAAAATGCGATTTATTAACCATTTTATATTTGCCTGCTCTGCCGAACGCATGACCGCTATCGCAGTGCGTCCACTGTCGGAAACGCGATGAGTGGACAACTCTTTCTAAGCATCGGCTTTCATTCTGTTCTGCAAAAATCAATTCGCACACTGCTGTTTTTTGTGTTTCTTTTACATGCCGATGCGTAAAACAATTTGTCACAACTGTTATTTCATCACGTTGCGAGCGTAAATGTTTTCACAGTCGTCCACCGTACGCTGTAAAATCTTTTTTTAATGCATTATTAAGTTTAAGAAGTTTTACTTTCGTGATTGGTCTGCGAATGTCCAAGCTGAAGCCAGCAGTTGTGATCGGCTGAAAAGAATCACCAGTAGCTCTGGCGGCGAGGAGGGGGCGCTCTGCTCAATCAAGGTCAGAGGAGAAAGCCCCTCTACCTAGGGTGCCTTCATGTGCGCACATGAAGGCTCCCTACCTCTACCTCGTTGTAGAGATCAGTGGCGATGACCGACGACGTGGTGAGAGAGAAAGGTGGTACCGAAGGAAGGAGAGAGCGTTAACTCAAGGTCGCGCTGCGCGGATCTGCCTCCTCTCCCACGGTGCAGCTGGTCCGGCAACGCACCTGTGCCACGCGCCGCAAAAACTCCATGACGAGCATAGCGCAGCCGTACCGACACGACCAGATGAACGTCAGCCGTCCTTCGGTGCAGCGTGGTGCGGTGCGGTGCGCCCCAGACAAATGTGACGGAAGCCTCGTCGGGTCGAGTATGAGGTAAGGCTCCTATTACCGTATTCGCGGCTTTGCAAATAATAATATTAATAATAATTTTTATTTACACAAGAAAGTTTGCCCACTCAGCGGCGTGCAAGGCTAGACAGAAAGGTTAGTACCTTTACTCATGTCCGCCTGCTAGCCCGCCGCTGAGTAGGTGTAAACATAAACAAAAAGTAGTCGCAAGTACAAGATAAGAATAACATGTATACACGCATGGAAACAACGAATAATCGGAACCCAGACGGCAAGATAAGTAAACTCGCTGTGCCCCAACCCACCCCCAAGCAGACCACGGCGGAGGCCCCAGCCACAAGGCTAAACTCGCGAGCGCTCCGCTGTGTGTGGTGCATCCCGCGCAACCAAGCCCGCAACCGCGGCCCCCGTCACGCCCCGCCCCAGGGTGACACGGAGCACGCGCGAAGACCTCTGGGTGAACCCCTTACAGGCCATAAACTTGTGAACAGATGCTGGCCGTATCGTCTGCATAGCTCATGGGATTCCTCCCTGTCCCGCGGAACAGGCTTGCGCTCCCTCAGCGGAACAGAGAGAAGCTCATCTATGCCTGCGGAGATCGCGGACAGGCCATGCCTCACAGTCCTGGCATGCAGTGGCTCAGGATGGCCAGTACGTCTATTCACACGCACTTGCCGTTGATAAGTATGACCCAGTCAGTGAGCCGCCCAGAGCGCGGCAAACCAGGCACACGCTAGCCATTCTCGGACGTTGTTCAAGCGGCTGCCACCCCGCAAGTTTAAGTCGGGTTGAATAACCTGCGTCCGTGGAGCCCGAAGCGCGTGCGCAAAGCCTCCGTGAACCGCGTCTCTGCACGCTCTCAATGCGATCCACGAGATGCCGCTGAGACGGGGACCACACAGAGCTACAATACTACAACGACGGCAGCACGATAGAGGTGTACAAGGTGCGGAAGGCCGAGGGTCCACTTGGCCTGGACACCCGAGACACAAACCCCATGGATCATCGAGCTTTGGCCACGACACTGGCTATGTGGACAAAACAATCCAGTGTTCTCGTAATTGTGACCCCTAAGATGGTGAGAGAGTCGCATGTGGCTAGTAGGGCATCGAGCAGATGGTAGCAGGGTTTCTCCACCTTACGGGAGCTGCTAAAGCGCATCAGGGCACTTTTCGCGGGGCTAAGCCGCAGGCAATTGTCAGTCGCCCAGCACTTTATGATGTTGATGTAGTCTTGGAGGAGGAGGCAGGTGTCAGGGAAAGTAAGTGGGTCCAATATCGGCATGTCGTCCGCGTACTGGACGGGAGGGAACCTATCGTCCCGGGGCATGTCATTGAAGTAGGTTAAAAATAATGCAGGACCCAGGACCGACCCTTGTGGCACACCGGAGGAGACGTTCATCGCAGCCGAGCGCGTACCTCGGTGAACGACTTGTTGGCTTCTTCCGCTCAGAAAGTTTGACAGCCACTTCAACGGAAAACCCCGGATGCCGGCGCCCGACACCTTGCGTAGCAGAAGACCGATGTCGAGGGTGTCGAACGCGTTGCTGAGATCAAGCTGAACGAGATCTGTCTCTGTGCGATTGTCGATGCAGTTGTTTACGAAATGGCTCAGGGTCGCCAGGGCCGTCTCACAGCTACGGTTTTGTCTAAAACCATGCTGTGACTCCGATAAGTAGCTAGTGCCCTCAAGGAAGTCGAGAAGCTGGCCGTTCACCACGCGTTCGAATGTGCGGCAGATGATCGATGTTATTGAAACCGGACGATAATGCGTGGCATCGTCTGAAGGCTTTCCTTTCCCCTTGTGGATAGGGGTAACCAAGGCGTGTCGCCAGGAAGCAGAAACAGCTCTCACGTCGAAAAGACTCTGAAGCACACAGGCGAGCGAGGGCAAAGTGTGCTGCGTGATCATCCTGAAAAAGGCAGGTGCCACACCGTCTGGGCCAGGACATTGCGAATGCTTGATCTCGGACACCGCAATGCTCAGTGCTTCCGCTGAGAAGGTGATCTCCTCCAGGATCGATGCATCGGTGCCAAATGATGATGGTGCAAAAACAGCGGAATGCGCAGACAACCGCTGTCCGTCGGTGTTGTAGACAGACGAGAAGTGGTCTGCGAAGAGTGCAGCAATCTCACCGGGGCATCGATCATTCCACTGGCGCTGAAGCTGGGACGTTGGCAAGGCATTCTGAAGCGACTTACGTACGACCAGAAGACCTTAGGGTCGTCCTTTGCTTTTTGTGCTATCGTGGAGGTGTAGCGCTGGTGTGCGACATGTATGGTAGCCTTTAGAGCGCGTTTGTGGCCTTTTGCAGCGCGTAAAGCCACGGGACTGTAAGAGCGGGAGGACTTCCTGAAGAGTCCCCTCTTTATTCTCGCTGCCTTCATTATGTGGGGGTGATTCATGGGAAATACTTTCGTCCGGAGGAGCGGGTGCGGAAGGGCACGCACTCCATCTGAATTGCTCCCGCCAGGTCGTACCACAGGTCGAAATTACCAAGGGGGTCATCGCCAGTCGTCGTCATGCACCAAGGTGCAAGGTGTGCCAGGCGTGCTAGGTGGCCGTGGTCGGCCTGGTCGAACTTCCATAATGTGTGTGCACGTGGCAACAGAGCGGCGTACGTCACCTCCATCGCCAGGTGATCGCTACCGGGCAGTCCCTCAAAAGTCTCACAGGAAACTATTCGGGTCGGGTCTGCTAGAAAGAGAAGGTCTAGAAAGCTGGAAGTTCCGTCGCGAGTTGAGTGCGTCGATCAAGTGCACGCCTGCGTGAGGCCAGCTGATGAGGCAATGTCGAGTAAGAAGTCATCCGAACGATCGCGGGGGACAGGATCCTCGTGTGTGAACCAGTCAGTGTGCGAGTTGAAGTCGCCGAATACCAGTATGTTCTCATAGTTCCTGAGGGAAGCGGCCCGTAACGATACCTCCAGGAGCCTGTGTGACTCTTCCCGTATCGACGGCGGCCAGTAGACACTGCCCACTAGGACTTTGCTGTGAGGCAGGCAGAGCTCCACGAAGAGTGCTTCGAGATCTTGGTGTTCAAGGTCCGTGCAACGAAAAACGCGTGCCGACGCCGGGAAAGCCAATAGAATACCTCCCCCCTGCCACACCTGTCTTTGAGGAACACAGTGTAAGCATTCGTGTCGAAAAGTTCGCTGTCTGCTACACCCGCGTCGAGAAAAGTCTCCGTGAGCACCACAACAGAACCAAGGGGCAACGAAGACACGTGTGCCTGGAGGTCTACCACCTTGTTTCGAATGCTTCGGCAGTTGCCGTACCAGAACGTCGTAACCTTCTTCCCTCCGCCGGACGATCTCCCGGTTGCAGCAGGCGTAGGCACTGTGGAGGGCTGTATCGAGGATGCCACGGGAAGGTCAAACAAGTCGTCCGCGAAAGCGGGCAGGGAGCAACCCAGGCAATACCACAAATCGTTGCTGGAGCTCAACTTCCTGTACTCTGGCAGAGAGACACGCATGAACAGTGGGGCCAGCGGTCAAATGCATCACAGCACAGCGCGGCCTGGCAACCCAGAACACGTTTGGTACAACGGGTGCAGGTGGGGTGCTAAGGTCCTGGGTTTGAAGCGACGTCGCCGGAGAAAAGAACCGTCGCGTCGACCCACTCGGTACTGAGGGAGAACAACAAGCAGGCAGCAGAGTGTCCCCATCGCGGGGTTGTAAGTCCTCTAAGCTTAACGGCAGCGCCGAGCCCGTTCAAGCATCTCGTGTAGGACGCGTCGGACGCGGTAGCGGCACACAAACCGAGACCGCGAAGCCCCACGCTGTTCGAAGGAGAGATGCAGGTGGAGGCACGGTAGGTGGCGAGCGACAGCAGCAAGAAAAAGGCAAAAATGCTGTGAGACGAGCGGCAACCTGTACGTGCGGCCATGATTGGTACACCAGCGTTCGGCGCAGATCTTGAGAGAAAACATTTCGGCAGTATTTTGGTCGTACCCGACAAAATCGTCGTTTGTGGAATATGCTCTGCGGTGGGCAAATTCCAAAGCTATCGTTTGTGTGCCGAGACAAATGTGTTTCTATCCCGCAACCCTTTAGTTCACTGTACATCTCCACATAGTAAATGAATTTCTGAACAGGCAAAGTGCGCTTCCAGCACATTTTCTGCCACTAAGATCGTGAACATGATCTACTTGACATACAAAGAAAATCAACAAATAGTTTCACAAATGGACCATAACGCAATTTAAAACAAAACTAGGTTTGTAAAACATACCTGGGTGTATAAGAAGGCATCTGTGACATTTCGAGTATTCTAGGGCAATTATTGAGGCGGATTATTACGGATTGAACACTCCGTTATCGAGCCACGCCTCTGTCAGCCTTCCACGCCAAATGTATTCACGCATGCCCGACAACGTGAGAAGCTTGGCGCCCCCTCTTGTTCACTGCTGGAACGTCTCGAAGATGGTCAGGTCCTTCGCGCCACGGAAAGATGTAACAAGACGCTCCATCATCCTTTTTGACGTTCTGATGTTCTATCGAGCTATTTTGATGGTCTCAGTCGGGCAACATGGAAACGTTTCAATGTGCCGTCAGTCAACACCAGTAATGTTGTAACGGTCTGTGAGCGACAAATAGAATCGTTTAATGGTCAGCCACCATCGTAAAATGTTTGATGGTCCACCATACACCATTGAGTAAGCCTCTCAGGCAATCAAAAAGTATGATTGTCCATAAATTAGGTCCGTTGGGCCATCAAGCAGGTCTGTTGGACTATCAAGAAAGTGTCAAGAAGGTTTGATGGGTCGTCGAGAAGGTGTTTTGTGCCAGCAAGGAGGTTTGATGGGCCATCGGAAACGTTTAATGGCCCATAAAATTTTTTGGTGGTCCTTGTGATCGGGAATGCTTTCTAGAAATACGTTTTCCAGGAAATAAAAACGTAAAGGTCTTGATCTAGAGTTTGTATGTTTGTTTGAGTTCACCCCTCTCAGGTGCTCCTTTGTATAAAGTGCCCGGTATGCACTTGAAACATTACCCAGCGGTTTTATTTTAATCAGCCGCGCCTGTGAGAAATGCAAGTGGTATCACATTTCGACTGTTATTCAGTCTCAGTGCAAAAATGCGCCAACCTTATTTTTTGTTTTGGCACCAAAGCTGCATTACCATTCAATTCCTTAACTTGCACATTTGTGACTGGCTGAAGCGGTTCAATAAGTCCGATGAAATCGCGGTGGATCCGATGCATTTCCGAATCTCTAGCAATAATCACTGACGCGATGAGAACGGTAGGGGGGTATTTCAGTTATACCGCTTATAGCGCGAGCTTCCTGTCTTTGACAACACTTGGGCGTCTCGTAAGCTTCTAGCCGAAACGCGCAGTGAAAGCATGGTGGAAGGCAACGAGCGCATGATGGAGGCCTCGCGTCCGAAACTAACGCCCCGCCGTTCTCATTCTATCAGCGGCTATAGCTCAAAAAAGTTTGAACATGAGAAGCCTGTCATAATAACTGATCAAAGCTCTGCTGAAATTGAAGTGAAACACTGGCCTCGTAGATATAAGCTATTGTGACCATGTTATATCTTGGTCTGGAGAGATTGCGTGAAATAAGATATTAACGCGTTACTATTGGTGCTCGATACTCTTTCCTATATGTATAAAAAAATAGTTCTTTTCTTTCCGTGTATAGAAAATGAACTGAAGCGATAGTGCTGTTTACTGTGATGCGCAGACTACTACAAGTCATTCTTAATCCTGCTTCAAGATTTGCCATAGCTACAAAGACTACATTCTCACATGATGTCACAAATGGTCCGCCAAATTGAGCGGGAAAATTGTGACATTATGTAACGGTGTGTTGTCACCCGAGACCGTGACATCACAGGGTCATATAGCGTCACGTAATTCTCCGTTAAATTTAGCGGGGAAATTGTGCAAAGACGAGGTTGTCGTTGCGCAAGTCCTATAAAGAATTAATGCCGTTTGTTGTTTATTCGAAAAGGTACAACGTTACTCTTTCCGGTTCATTATAACTAACCCTGCTGTAATTTCTGGTACAAAATAAATAAAAAAATAAATAAAAAGCAGCGGGCTGAAGGCATTGCTTACACCACTCTACGCGCATTTCTTATAGAGCTTCGTCTACGAAGGTTAGACACATACTTTCAGCTTTTTTTATTAAAAACAATTCTTTTTATACAAGTAGGATACAAACAATGTATTAAACGACGGTCAGCGGTACCATATAAGCAAGAAAGCAATGTTAAACACGGGCCGGTTGTAGAACAGAAAGATGTTTCGTCTCTATCAAGCTACGGTGCCTGGAACGTGTCTCCGACTGCTATGAATGCGGAGCGGAAGTTCTGCTCTTTGAGCAGGGGTTGGGGTGACGTCAGAACGCAGAGCTTTGATTGGCTCTGATTGAAAAATAGTGGGCAGACCTCAAAGCAAGTAGCCTCAAGGTATACCCACTATCCTTCAATCAGAGCCATTCTAAGCTCGGCGTTCCGACGTCACCACAACCCTGCTCAAGGAGCAGACGAACTTGCGCTCCGCATAGTGTCCTTTTGCGTCCATGCATCGAAAGCGGTCCCAAAGTGGCAACAAATTACGTCACAGAAGCCGGAGTGTCGCGCTGTCGGATTTCACGATCCTAGCGGTTGGTGGCAGGAATGCTGGCGAAAAGCACGAGCGAACGCGAGTGTTGCTGTCTTTAAAGCGTCCCATCTCCTGGCAGCCGAAGCTTCCGTGCGCTGTGAAGCTGGAAGAGAGTGCAGCAGAACAGGCGTTTGCCGCACCCATCACCGCTGTTGTGACGCCGCCAGGATCGCGGCCATCGACAGCATGAAACTTCTATGACGTCATCGGGCGAAAATCGAGGGACCGTTTTTTTTTTTTGGACGAGGTAAGCACACCAGTCAGAGACGCGTTCCGGGCACCTTATATGGCGAGCTTTCGTAGATGGTTTTCACCGTTCCGCAACGCTCTCCTCAACCCGCTACGATGCCCGCTACGAAACTCTGTTTACGAAAACTTCCCATTGTGCTGCAGCGGAAGCGCAACGCGCGTTTCAAGGCCCCGCACGTTAAGGGTGGAACACAGGTGCGGAAAACCTGCCATAAATGGGACGGTAGTAGTGGCATGCGAAATTCGTTGAACAGTATTTATTTCATTTTCAGGAAACGATTGCGACTGCCCGTAAATCCCAAGTAGTGGCTCCTTTGAACCGGACTGTCGATATCTGCACGTTAAATATACCCACGTGTGGTTCATTTGTTCGTTCTTTCCATCTTCATTCTCCAGATGTGTGGGATTTTGTTCCGGTTTATTGCATTCGTGTTCCAGCCTTTACTTTTCTTCCCGAGATAAAAAAAAGTATTTTATAGTGTGTGTTTTACCGACTGCGCAACGAAAGCTATACTTTGTACTGAGGTAGCGATTTTGGTGAGTCGCTATACGTTTTCCAATCATGGTGAAAAACAGCTCGAAAACGAAGACGACGAGAAGGAGCTAACACGACACGACTAAAGGTACAGTCGGGAGCAAAAGTTTGCGGGGCACGGGAGCGCGTGCCGAAATGCATCGCTGCGCCGTCCGACGGCGCGTCGCCGCATTAAGGATCCGTGCTTTGCGCATGCGCGCCTTTCGTGCTCGCTATCATGTCTTTTTCGCTCGTTTCTTTCCGACGCACTCTTGATAACAGAGATCGGCGCCAGGGGCACGAGTTAGCGCTTCGCTGGCTGTCATGCTGCACGTCTGCTTCAGCCGCCTTAGCCGCCGCGCTTCGTGACGGAGCTCGCAGGGTGGGGTAACCAGGCGCTTTGTCACCCATCGCGGTTGCTGACGCAGCGGAAGAGGACGCGAGGCGTGACAGCCAGCGAAACGGCAACTAGTGCCCCGGGCGCCGACTCCGGTTATCAGGAGTGAGTCGGACTGAAACGAGCGAAAGAGACGTGACTACCAGCACCTAGGGCGCGCATGCGCAAAACGCGGCTATTTAATGCGGCGGCGTGCCGTTGCACGGCGCGGCGACGCATTTCAGTACGCGCTGCCGTGCCCCGCAAACTTTTGCTCCCGACAGTACGTTTATACTCCAACGTAACGTCGACGGGCACGGCGTAGCGCAGCGTGCACAGATACTGAATGGTCGCAGATATCGAGTTCCAGGTTGCCGGCCAATGAAAGGCATGCGTTCTGCGCTACGCTGTGTGCACTGCGCTCAACGTCGGAGTATAAACAGCCCTTAAGCAGTACTCGCAGCGGAAGTTTTATTAGTGAAAAAGATTAAAGCAAAGCAGCACATGCAAAACAGGTCGCAGATAACAGCAGCAATCGCCTACTCAACTATCGAGCACAACACTAACGTAAGTGCTGAATAACCTAAAAAAACACTTTTCATATCCACTTGCAAAAAGCAAACGTCTTTATCTGACCAAGCCACCGGCGGGGCGCTGACGCATAAACCCGCAAACTGGAAATTAAAAAAAAAAAAAAAAAGATTCAATAATCTATCTTGTTTTTTTCCCTCTCTTTGGCCAGGACAGCAACTTTACCGAAATCTGGCACACACTCGCATCCATAGGCGTAGACTTCGTGGGA